AATATGTGACGATGTGGGCATGTGTGTCCAGCATTAATTATTCAGTGGTGTTTATGTCAGAGGAAATACGACTTTTGAATGCTTCAGCAAGTCTAGATCTGCGCCATGCTGCCTGGGTGCCTAAAAGAGGCATCGAAGATGGGATTCCCTATTCGTTACTCCTCTTTGTGTGCGCTACAATGGCCTCGTTCATATCATGAGAAGAGGACGCGTGAACAGGAAGTTCACAGTATGGCAGCGCCTTGTGTCGCGCTTCTGATGTGAGGGAAATGTGAAGGATGATAATTAGTCTGGGGGTAGCGACGTGTTCATCACTGATCAGAGAGAATAATTTTTCACTTGACAGCCTATGTCGTCAGCTTGTCAGATTGTAATGACAGAAAATAGGTGACAGGAGGAAGAAATTCATGCGGCTCTGTGGAGAAACAACTGTGATAAAGGCCATGAAATGTTCTTCCTTTCTGAAGGTTCATAGTAGCACACCAAATACACCAAAGTGGCAGATTGCCATCGAGACGTGAGTCAGATGTGAAGGATAAATGTGTTTTACACAACATTAAGCACATGTAGAATCGCTGTTTTTCATTGATTACATCTACATCAACTAAACTGCGACCAAAATGATAAATATCTCCATGTCCTCTACAGCAGTTGTCCTCTTTAGGGTGACAGGTGAGCTGGAGTCTATCCCAGCTGACTTTGAGCTAGCGCTGTGGTACACATCAGGAAATTGCACGGGACATAATAAACAGACAACCATTCACACTCAAATTTAAAATAACTATGCAGTGTTGGGAAAGTCATCTTCGATGCGAACTACAACCTCAATTCCAATGAAGTTGGGATGTTGTGTTAATTGTTGAAAAAAAATATATAAAAAAATAGAATACACTGATTTGCAAATCATATTCAAACTATATTAAATTGAATATACCATATTTTCTGCACTAAAAGGCGCTTCGGATTAGAAGGCGCACCTTCAATGAATGGCCAATTTTAAAACTGTTTTCATGTACATAAGGCACATTGCATTACAAGGCGCATAGAAGAGAAGCTACACTGGTGACTGCGGTTGCGCAATGCATCCACTAGATGAAGCTACGCTAAAGGGAATGCAATACAATACAAAACAGCTTTATTTATATAGGGCCTTCACAACCGCTGCAACTGTAACAAAGCACTTTGCGGAACATTTAAATTACTACGTCCAAGAAAACAGAATATTGATCCATGTGTAGCTCCCTCAGGATGTAGCCTAAAGCACAACACTAAGTCCATAAAAATACAGGGTTTATTCATTGGCAAGCCGTGAGAATTTGTCACAAATATGAACATGGAACATATAAATACAAATTGCATTACAAAACAATAAATGAAAGACAAATGTTTTGAAGACAATTGATTCAACAAAAAACACACCTCGTTGTTATCCACAAGGGGCTAAATATCCTTTGAAGTCTTGCTTGTCTCCTTCTTCCTTCGTTTAGTCAGTAGTTAACTATGATTTTGGTCTTATCATCGTTTCGTAATGGCTGCGCAGAGCTCAGAATCCCAAAAAGCTGGGACACGGTCATGTTTATTATAATGTTACATCATCTTTTCTTTTAAATATGTTCAATAAATGTCTGAGAATCTGAGGACAGTAATTGTTGAAGCTTAGAAGCAGATTCTTTGAAGCAGATTTTCAATGGGAGGCAGGCTAGTCTAGTACCCCCGACTCTTTTACTTTGAATCCATCTTGTTGTAACACGTGCACAATGTGGTTTGGCATTGTCTTGCTGAAATAAGAAGAAGAGTCCATGAAAAAAAAAAAAAACGTTGCTTGGATGGCAGCATATGTTTCTCCAAAACCTGTACAGTATGTACCATTCAACATGAATGGTGCCTCCACAAATGTGGAAGTTACCTGTGCCATTGGCGCTAACACAGCCCCACACCATCACAGATGCTGGCTTTTGAAATTTGTTTCCACAATAGTCTGGATGTTTCTTTTACTCTATGGCCCGGAGGACATGAGGTCCACAATTTCCAAAAGCAAGTTGAAATATGAACTTGTCAGACCCCAGAACACTTTTCCACTTTGCATCAGTCCATCTTAGCTCGGCCCAGAGAAGCCGGATGCGTTTCTGGGAGTTGGTGATGAACGGCTTTTGCTTTACATAGTAGATTTTTACGTTACAATATGGATGCAGCGCCAAACTGTATTGACTGCCATTGTTTTTTTGTGTTGAGTTCCTGAGCCAATACAGGTGTATCCTTTGCAGATTGATGTCAATTTTTGATGCACTGCCGCCTGAGAGATTGAATGTCATGGCCATTCAATGTTGGTTTTTGGCCTGTCTCCACATTCTCTGACCCCTTTGATCATATTATGGACTGCAACTGATGAAATCCCTACATTCCTTGCAAGTGTACATTGAGAAATATTGTTCTTAAACTATTTTCTGATGCAGTTCACAGAGAGATGAATCTTATCCCATCGTTGCTTGTGAATAACATTTCAGTGAAGCTCCTTTTATACCCAATCATGGCACTCACAAGTTCCCGGTTGGCCTGGTTACCTGTGGGATGTTCCAAAAAGGTGTTTGATGATCATTCCTCAACTTGGTGAGTCTTTTTTGCCAACTGTGCCAGCTGTTTGGGAACTTGTAAACTCCACACAGGAAGGCCAGAGCCAGAATCGAACCCTGCACCTCGGCACTCTGAGGCCGACGTGCTAACCAGTGGACCACCGTGCCGCTGCAAAGCATTGTATTCTGTTTTTATTTGTTCAACCTAAAGTCCCAACTTCATTGGAATTGTCGTGGTATAGCCCATCTCTCAATCACTACAAGCTAAAACCAGAATACTGCAGAATAAAACTCAGCCTTTCATCAAATTAATACATCTTTTAAAGTTATTTTAATCTTAGCATTGTTATCTTTGTTAAGGCGATGTAAACTGTTTATTAGACCAGGCGGTGTTCAGTTGATTAAGCTCTCTCTAACTGCTTTGCAACATGTACTGTGTATTTCCTCTCTGCTTTGCATGTAACAATGACGTGTGGAAGAGTTCCAAAAATAACATGGACGCAATCATCTATTTTGACCCTCATTCTCGTTCCTTGGATCATTGAATAACAATTACAAGACTGCCCCCAGTTGGTACCAATGCGCATGACCACAAAACGAGAGCACTATTGCGCTTTGTAAGTAGGCTGTACTCTACAATGTAAACCATTTATTTTTCTCCCTACCTCTTAAATTAAACGTTTACATGGTGAGAGTTATTAACATTCACAATGTGCCTTAAAAGTGATCATGCAAATTTACACCACAGATTAACAGGGTGCATATCAGGAAGTGAAAATAGACATTTCCTGACAGAAAGGCAGACAGACAGGTCTATGAACAATCTTTCAAGTGAGTTCCAGGTGCATTTCATCACTAGAGCATAATAGAGAAAAGGAAGAAAAATCAGTTTGAGTTCAATGAGCCAAAAGAAGATGGCCGGTTCTTTCCATATCCTGCAGGATGAGTCATCAACCCAAACTAGAGGGTTTTTCAGGGAGGCAAGGCGGACTTACTTCTGAAAATAATACAAATAGGTGCATCCAGCTAGGGTATTGTTATTACAAAAATGAGACACAAACTACTTCGGTAGACTACCAGAGAACTTCCTATTAGTGTTTCATTAAACTATTAAACAGCACAGACAATACAATACAATCTACTGTACTACATATCACAAGTGAACTGGCTTTTCTGCAAGCACAGCAGAATGGCTTGGAGTGTTTTTCCTGTTCATTATCCCACAACAGCATTATTAGGCAGGATAATACAAGTCTGTTTTACACATTATTCATACAACTGAATCACAAGTCTGGATTACACAGAACATATGTATTAGAAAGAAAAAAAATAACCACAGCACAGTCCATCATGCCATTTGCTGATATAGTGAAGCACTGGCCCACTTATACCTGATAATCGTAAACATAAAAATGGCTTCATGTATTTTATTGTCATGATAATACACAAGAATACTTGCTGAGCTGATGAGTGTGTGGATCACGCTAAACAATGAATAGGAATGGACCGTGATGTATCCCAGAAGGGGGTCATTTCTATTCATCCATTCATTTTCTGCGCCGCTTGTCGCATGCGAACTTGAACTTATCCCAGCTATACGTTGGGCGAATGGTGTCCAGCTTAGACTGGTAGCTAATCAGTCGCAGGGCATACTACATTCACACTATCACCGAGTGTACCTCATTCTATTGTCAGAGAGAGAGAGAGAGAGAGAGAGAGAGAGAGAGAGAGAGAGAGATACACATGATATCCATGCATCCATTTTCCGATCCGCTTTATCCTCATGAGGATTGGGGGGGGGGGGGCTGGAGCCTATCCCAGCCATCTTCGGGCAGCAGGCTGGGGAAATCCTGAACCGGTTGCCAGCAAATCGCAGGGCATACAGAGACGAACAACCATCCGCACCGCTTCACACTCACACCTCGGGACAATTTTGAGTGTTCAATCGGCCTGCCAGGCATGTTTATGGAATGAGGTCAACACGCTGACGACCACTGGGCCGCCCTATATATA